CCCTTGTAAGCAAAAAAGGCGCAAGGTGTGATTCGCGTGGACAGAATGCGGCTTTTTCGAGCTTAGATGTCGATCAGACTCTGCGATTGCATCGCACGCTGCAATCGCTCTAGGCAGAGCGACATCTTAGCAGCGCGAAACATCCTCGCTGCGGGAACATCACTTCGACCGCCGATCATGAATGGACCTGGAATTCTCGCTGCGAAAAATGTTTCGCGCTGTGAAACGCGACATAGAAAAACGCTTCTTATCCTAGCGAAGTGTCCAGTGAAATGCGAAAGTCGCTTTCTGTCTTGAGAAACCTCACCCAATGAGGTGTTATGGCACCGGAAAAGCAAATTTCACTTGTTTGTTTTCGCTGTAATGGTTCAAAATTATTCTGGACGAGATTAATTCAGTAACAAACACATATCTTGCCATTCGAATAGCGTTTGTAGTCACTTGTATTGCCTTTTTTTTATCTACATGTTCCTGTTAATGAAAAGAAAACGAGGAATTAACTGAACAGACATTTTCGTACAGCTCAGAAACCTCTCCCAAGCTGAAGCGTATCACAACGTTTATAATTATGTTAATGTATGCCCTGAAGAATGAGCATAAAAAGCTTGGGAAGAGATCCGGCATCCACTCAATGTGACGGATGGATTTTTCTGACCCTTCAAAAGATAGCAACTATTGGGGCGAATACGTATATTGTAGAAGCTCACTAGCAGGAAAGTCTTTCAAGAGATGGAGCGCTTTTCAAAACGGTTTTTGCATGTTATAGGGGCGCACGCAGGGTGCACAAAACTTAGAATAATTTTCTCCGGGCGGCTCTGGGAATGCTGCAAAACGTGTGAAATCCACGGCCTGTGGTTCGATAGCCACTAAAGACAAATTTTTGCATTTCTCTGATTTCCACTTTCTTGGGCTCATATATTTCTCAACTTATTCAGTGAAGAAAACTTCTAAAATGTAGCCATCCAACGCTACAAGTGCTGTAGAGTTCTTGAGAACAGGAAATCTTCGCTTTCCAAGGAAAGTTTGCTGCCTTTTTCAAGCCCAGGGCCGCTCAAAAAAAAGTCACCGATACTGCAAGCGGCATGTCTGCGCCCTCTCAGCGAGGTATCGTACATCGCATATTCCAGCTTTTCACCATGACACTGACTCACCCCGCGGTGTCCTTCCTAGGACAAAGTGACTTTTCCGCTTTTTCGCAGGCTGAAAGTTTCTTCGCTGCGAACGCCAGGTCCACTACTGATCAAAAAAGTTCCAATACTGCTTTGAACACTTACACCACCATGAGGTCAGCAGCTGATAGCTTTAAAATAGGCGAGATCTTCCGATTTACACTATTTCAAAGCCTCATCACTTCTCGAATTTGTAAGAAAGAAGGTGGAGCATAAGTGGGCTGCAATCTTGTAAGATTACCACTGACATCCCCTTTCCTACAAGTTGATCTTGCCAGGGACCGTATGCTATTCTCTGGCCCGACGCATAGTCGGTCGGACGACAGCAACGACTGCAAGTGT